CTGCGCGGCTGATGAAACCGCACCGACGCAGCAAGCCCCGATGCTCTCACTTTCGGATTTGCTCCATGGTGCTCACAAGTCTCGTCGCGCTCAAGGTGGTCGACGACCTGCAGCTGGCGCAGCTCTCGACGGCCGCGCTCGCCCAGACCGTCGGCATTGATCCGAATGCTCGCAACGCCGAGACACTGAGCCTGTTTCTCTTCTTGGGTCTCCGAGAGGACACGGTCCTCGCCCACGCAATGACGATGGTCGCGGCGAACCCGGACGCGACGTCGGCGCTCGTCGCGACTGCGGCAGCGTGGCGGGTTCTCGCCAAGCCCACGACCTTCCCGGCGCGCTTGGAGCGTCACGGAGACTTTGGCATTCTCGTCTCGACGGACGGCAAGGTGCGCGTGGCCGTCTGCATTCCTGCTGGCCTCGGCAACCACATCGTCCGCGTCTCGTTCGCGTCGCCATCGACGTTCCACACCAGCGTCATCGTGTCTTCGCATCACTTGGTCACGGACGACGTGTGCTCTGACGACGAGATCCTCTTTGGCGGCAACCTCCTCCTCAACGTCTTCGAGGTGCTCGCGACAGTTCCCAACTGCGTCGATCGCTTGCGCCGACTGCTCACGCGCGCGATTGCTTTGTACGAGGGCCTCGTCTACGACATTGTGCGTCCGCCCTTGGCCACGTCGAGTCGCGTCGCGGGCTCGGTGCTTGTCCCGTTCGAGGCCATGCTTGGCGGAACGCTCTCGCTGCCGATGGAGCTCATCGTCGCCTCGCCGCCGCGCAAGACGCCCCACGACGCTCTCGTCCTGGACATGTCGTCGCACGAAGGGTCCTTGCGAGAGATACTCCACACAGCTCTCGAAAACAACGCGATGCTCTTGCAGCGACTCGGCGAAGCGAACGAAGCGCGCCAACACGCTCACGCTCGCATCGCGGAGCTCGAAGCGGAACGCGACCATCTCATGCGGATCCTCTCGTCCAAGGATGCCTCGGTGCCACCGCCCGCTTTGGCGCCGAGCCATCGCATCGACACGCACCGCCGATCCTCGCTGCCGCCGTCGTTGAAGTCACCGCCTGTCATCGCGCAACCGCAGCGCCGCGTGTCGCTGCCGTCGTCGTTGCCGCCGGCGACACCAATCCGCGCGAGCTATCGACCACGCGCGGCGCTCCTCGG